ATGCAAAGGACTGTCTTTATACTTGACTCTATAGAAAATGTGGGAACAATGGCTAAAGAAAAATATGTGCAAATAATTCTAAATTAAAGAGAAACTTCCTAATGAAAACTCTTTTAATAGGTTATTTTAAGCTACTTCTAAAAAGGTCACAGTTGCTTGTGCTAATGTAGAACCTGTTTTAAAATTACATGCTATTTTGATAATCATGGTATTTTTGTGCTTTAAAATAGAGTGAGCAGCAGAAATAAACTTCATAAGAAGCAAATTTTTTCTAATTATAACTAGAGAAACAAAAAGCATAACACTACAACATATAAAATAAACTCCAGAATTTCTGTTGAAATACTTTTTCTCAGGTATGAATTGTTGCAATTTTTATATTTTATATAATAGAGTTGTGGGTCATTTTGGATTTTTCAGATTATGACAGAAGGGGATATTGCACACCAAAAGTAAAAGATTATATTTACCAATTCTAAGATTTTTATGTGTAATAATATATACAATTTGACTCTCCTTAACTCCACTAAAATAAAAAATGAGAGGTCTGATGCAAATCATACCGAAGTGGAAGGTTACTTCTGAGATGTCTCTTATTTAGGGAACACTGGATTTAAGGCCATAGCAAATTAATGTCTTAAAAGCTTCCAACCTTTGTGACAGAGGATACCCACATCACATATTCAAGTGCCTAGGTTCAAGTCATGTCTCCACTTTTGATCTAGTTTCTTGCTAATTCACCTGAGATACAGCAGATGATGACTCAAGTCCTGGAGTTCCTACCACACACATGGGAGATCTGAATGGAGTTCTTGGCTCCACACTTCAGGATGGCCCAGTCCTACCTCTTGTGGGCATTTGGGGAGTGAACCAGTAGATGGAAGCATGTATTCTCTCCCCCTCTCTCTCTCCCTCTCTCTCTCCCTCTCCCCTTCCCATTCCCTCTCCCTCTCTTCCCCCTTCTCTCTTTCTCTTTCCCTTTTCCACTTCTTCTCCCACTCCATATGTCTCATTTGCTGTTTCTCTGTCACTCTGCCTTTTTAAATAAAAAAAAAAATCCAAACACATATAAAATACAACAAACTCTGGCCAAATCAGACCTTACCAAGGACAGATATACCCTTGAAAATTATGGACCTCAACTCTTCCTGTTTAAAGTCACTACAGTCAGAACTTTGGCAGAAAGCAGGGCAATGAAAGAATCCTTATCATTAAAACAGTTCCCTACTAGTTTGTTTCATTCTCTTACCCACATTGTGCATGTTCTATGAATTAGAGTCTGCTTAGTTGTGGTAGATGAACTGCTGAAGCCCATTTTCTTCTGTTTTTGAGAATTTATGATCCATATTTTCCTTGGTTTCCAGAAAAGATAACAAGATTGGGACTTCCTAGTGATTTGCCAGTTGTATCACAATGGAAAACTCAGTTGATCTGAACCTTAAACATGACATAGAAAGCGTTGGCCATTTTGTTTGTTTCTGGCTGCTGTTTAATGCTTTCTGTTGCCTGCATAACAGAGGTCCTTAGACTGATTAGTCTGAGAAAAGGATAGCTTTTTAAAAACTAGTTCTCACAAAGGAAGAGAGTAGAATAGTAACCCCTAGAAGCCAGGAAAGGCAGAGAGGATACATGGAGTTTGATAACACATGCCAAAAGAGAGATATGTAGGAGAAATAAATTCTAGTGTTCTACAACACTACAGAGTGACTGTAGTATACATTAATTTATAAATCTATATATGTACATTTATTTTAAAGAACTAGAATAGAGGAGTTCAAAGTTTCCCAACACAAAGAAGTTTTAATATTTAAAAGATGCAATGGCTTATTACTCTGATATGATAATTACACATTATATACATGTACCCCTGTATATGTAGAACCATCATCTGTCAATTAAAATTTTTTAAAGAAATGTAGCTTTGTGATGGTCTGAGGAGGAGAATATTTGTCTTAAAAGACTGTGAAAACTTGTAAGCAATGATTTCAATTGGCAAATCCAATGTATGCTTACCTGACTGTAAATAGAGGAATGCTTTATCAAGGTGTGTACATATTTGTGTATAAACATGGATGAGAGTGACCTATACATTTAGTAAAGCTATCAAAAAATCTAGCCTAAAAGTACACTTCAGTAGTAATCTGAGTAAGTGGTGAAACACAGCTAGAAGAATTTTCTACTTCAGGTCAAAAGGCCTGGCAACGTCTTTCTCTTCATTCCTTAGAAAAGAAGTTGGGACATTTGACCATCTTCTCTCTGTTTTCCTTACCTAAATAAAGTTGGAGGTAAAGAAAGTGCATCCTGAAAGTTATGCTGTGCCAAACAAGACTAAATTTAACCAGCAAACCAATGATAGTAAAGAGACATATGAGTGACATTCATGAAGAGACCTATTGGACGTGGTCTCAGTCAGGCGGTTGCCTAACAGGAGGCAGTGGATATGGGGTTTTTGACAGTAGGAGCAAGGAGGAAAAGAGATGTGTTGGTAATAAATACGTGAAGGCATGCTGACTGAGACCTGATATTGCTTGTCAGATATCTCTATTTTTGTCTAAACTTCAAAAGCTATTTCATTGTAATATGTGTAGAGCAGAAGGTCTTGAGTTCTGTGATTGGTTATTGTTTTGAAAAGGAAAGAAAATTACCTTTCATTTTCTCTCCATTGGCATTAAATCCCCACTGGAGGTTTGAAGGACATTCCAAATCACTGCAACTGTGGCAAAGAGATTTTAAGTCCCTTCCTTTTTCTAAGACTGTGTAGTGCTGTCACCACCCCACAAAAAACTGCAAATAGAAACCAACAAAAATAATTTTGCAAAAAAATTTTTAGGTTCCCACTTGTTTTCAGCTCCCAGGCAAAAACAGATTTTATCTTTAAGACATTTGTGAAAAAGTATTTTGAAGCCTATGGCATATGAAACCTTTCATTTATCTATAAAGGAATAACTATATTTAGAATAATATTACCTATAAAATTTCAGTGGTAAATTTTCATATAAAATCCAAGTTTTTGTTTAAATAGATGGTCATTATGTGTCATTACTGTGGGGGGAATCAGTTAAAATCTTTTATAAGAAAACTAGTGGGGATATCTTAGTTTACATTCTAGTTTAGAACATCAAACAAATCAAATAATCATAATCCAGGAAGACTAAATTGTATTATATGATTCAGTGTACTAATGTCTTAAAGAATTAAAATTTAGTTCTTTTTTCCATAAATATCCAGTTCCAATAGGTTTCATAGTGAAGGTGAGCTGAATGATGGTCATCTTTGTAAAGCTCTAGTGTGAATAGATCTGTGTAGTGAACAAGAGCACTGATCCAGGAAGCTGTGGCCAAAGTATGTGCTCTTTCAGTCATGGATCTCCCCTGCTCTAGGTGCTCAAGGACTCAGCCTATGAACAGGGAACACTGATGGGAGGAAGATAATTTATGAGGTGATCTTAAGACTGTATTTCAGGCCCGCGCCGTGGCTCAATAGGCTAATCCTCCGCCTTGCGGCACCAGCACACAGGGTTCTAGTCCCGGTCGGGGCGCCGGATTCTGTCCCGGTTGCCCCTCTTCCAGGCCAGCTCTCTGCTGTGGCCAGGGAGTGCAGTGGAGGATGGCCCAAGTGCTTGGGCCTTGCACCCCATGGGAGACCAGGAAAAGCACCTGGCTCCTGGCTTCGGATCAGTGCAGTGAGCCGGCCGCAGCGTGCCAGCCGCAGCGGCCATTGGAGGGTGAACCAATGGCAAAAGGAAGACCTTTCTCTCTGTCTCTCTCTCTCTCTCTCTCACTGTCCACTCTGCCTGTCAAAAATTAAAAAAAAAGACTATATTTCATAAGGATGCAGTCACACTATGACACCTAACTGAAAACTGTGGTCTGACTCTATATCAGGGGTAATAGGGAAATAGTTTGAGCACAATCAGCCAGTTTCTGGGACACAAGGTAAAGTGATAATATTTGATAGGGAAATGCACAGAGCTGTTGCAGTGTCTAGGACATACACCTAGTTGGAAGTTGGAGAGCAAGGAATGTGCAGAAAAACTTTCTGCCCTAGATGACAAATCCCCTAAGACCTGAAGGAGTCGAAGTTGAACATGTTAAGAAGAGTTGAGAAGAAATTGTCCTACAAGGAAGGAGACGTTCTAAAACAAAACAAAAAGAAGCATCAGGGTTGGTTTTGAACTTCGTGGAATTATTCTGTGGAGAAATTGAGACAACGTGCCTTATGTTCAGTTGTGGGAATTTTTAAAAGTTAATGAGGAGGCTCTTTTACATAAATGTAATGCTTGCAGAGTTTGGGATTCTTTCATGCTGATTAGTCCCAGGATGCGTAGAACAGGGACGTGGATTTGCATTAGTATAGTTGCCAAGAACTCAGGATTGGGGAACCTTTTTTTCTGCCAAGATCCATTTGGATATTTTATAACATCATCCATGGGTCATACAAAATTATCAAATTAAAAATTAGACTGCTATAGATTTGCTGAATTTCAAGTTCCACCTGCGGTTCCCGTGTCAGGGCCAGACCAAATAATTTCATCAACCTTTTATGGTCTGCCAGCCTCACGTTCTCCCCTGTGGAAGCGATCCCCTAACAACCTGGGGAGCATCAATTCCACAAAGACCAAAAAAGGGTGGATTTCTGCAATATGTTATGTAATTTTAGGAATCAACAAACCAAGACATTCAGTGTCTTTGAAGTAAAAGATGTTGTAAGACAATTTAGCCATGTTATGTTGGATTTGACAGTCTGAACTTAACATCTTAAGGAATAGTCAGTTGTTATTGCTTTGTAGCCAGTGGACAAAAAAAAATTCCACGTTGACTTCTGACATTTCACTATTCCCATTAAAGATTGTATTTTGTAAAATTAATATCAGCTTTTCATTAACACTCTTGATTTCTCTCCTCTGTCTCAATAGCCCCTAAAAGTCAGATGACAAAATATGAAATCTTGAAGGTTGGAGATATTTTAAAGTAATTATTGATTTATGTCTTTCTAATTAGGTTTTGAATTTCTTGAGGCCAGGGACTGTTTAAAGACACAGTGACTAATACAAGGTAAGTCCATAACACTTCTTAAACCTTATTTTCTTTGGGTCCTAATATCTGATGTAGGACATGGTATATAGTTGAAACTTAACAATTATTTGATAGGATTGATAGGTAGATAAAATATTCAAATACTTTCTTTAATTTACCTAATATTTATCTTATAAAATATAATAAATTGAGTTATTATTTGCTTTCAATTACACTTTTTCTCAGTACAATTACAACATACTCCAAACAGTGGAACAACTAGAAAATGGTCTGTCAATGAGGAATTTATTTCAGTTCTGAACCATAGACAATATTACTTGAATATGGGAAAAATCTAACAATGGGTTAAAGTTCTGAATAGGAGCAGCAGATGCCTATAGATTTGAGTGTTGATTGAATTTAGCTGCTGCCGCTATGAAATTATTAGCCCTCGGCTGTGGTCTCGCCTATGTTCTTTATTTTGGTTCTTCTGAAAGCTACAAAGCTATTTATTGCTAATGAGGGAATAAAGTGATAAAACAGATTAGCAAATAGATTAGCAAATTTTAAGAAGTCTAATCTTTGTTAAACAATAAAAGGTTATCATGTACTACATTCAATTCTCAATATTTTCCAACTCAGTTTTTGCTGTTAACCCAGCATTGTTGCCTTATATATCCTTTCTCTAATATAAACATTTCATCCATCATAACAATATTTTTGTTAAAATTCTCTGCCAAGTCATTTTTTCTCACCTATTTCAGCTTAATGGTGTACTTTTAATCTTAAAAAAATAATTCTTTGAAGTAATTCTCATGTTTTCTCTCCAAGGTATTTGATCTACTGGCTTCCTAATTAAATACTATTATCCAGAAATAAATCTGTGGTGAATTATGAAATAAACTCAAATTATTTTAATCAATATTTATAAATACAAACTTCAGAAATATATTTTGCAAGATTTAGAAGTTCTTATAATAATCAAATACTCTTATGTGCTGAAATTTCATATTCTCAGATTCCATATAACTATTAAACTCTTTTTGGGGTTGATGTTTTCTTATGATGCTAAGAAGAAGGAAACATCTGCATGTAGAAAAGATACACAAAGGCACCTCAGAGACCAAGGTGCTATTGAAGTCAAGATGAGAAGTAAACACAAGAGAGATGGAGATAGTAGTAAATGTATTTCTGGCCTCCAGCCTGTTTTCCCTTTGCCCTCCCACTGTTGCAATTTTATTTATTAAGATTCATCACACTCTTCTGTAAGGCTTTTTAGCTATCCCCCGTCAAATTTGATATCTTCTTCTTCTGAACACCTATGTATCTCTGTTCATGACTCTGGTGATATTAATCATTCTGCTTTGTGGTTCAGTGATTTGTATAGAACCAGTTCCCATTTTGTGAGGACATTGTGCTCCAGAGTTCATTTTAAAAAACAGTTTGGCAATTCAACATACTTATTCCCATAGAACTAATAATAAAAATAGCATCCCTATTTTCTTTTTAGTTCCATTTTTGTCTCATCTAATGTTAATAGACATATTTCAAATATACTTCCATTAGAGACATTGTGTGTTCAGGATTAATTGATTCTATCACAAGGAGCGAAAGTGATACATGCTAGACCTGGCTGTGCTTGGATTCTCTGCTACTTACCAGCTGTTTGACTTTAAACACCCTCCTCAAATTTGTACCTGAGAATTCTCATGTATAAAATGGAGATAATAATCCCTAACTCTTCTGGCTGTTGTGGAGAAAAATGAGTTCATATATGAAAAATGCTTTTGAACAGTATTTGTCGTACAGTATTATGTATATATGTTGATCTATAGATACTATTTTCCTTGAAATTTGGAGCACTGGGAACTGACCTTTCCAACTATTCATATCGGTATATATGAAAGCAGAAATAAGCAACTCATGTTAGCAGTTCCCTTTCTAGACACAGAAAAATTTTTGAATTATAAAGCACAGTTTCCCAGGTCCACAAATAGATAGAAAGGGCATAATTAATGACCTAGATCAAATGCTTTTTCCTCTACCTGTATTTCCAAATTAAGTAAAAATGGAAAAAATGTACCGTAACTACCTTTATCACATCAGAAAGATAAGTTAAAATAACAATGATTATTATTGATACCATTTGTTGAGCACTTAGTGTTTGCCAAACATAAAGTAAATGGCTTCACATCTTAACCTCTTATCATCCCAAAGCAGATGAAAAAAATGGTGGTCAAGGCAGTAAAATTCTCCCATAGATATTGAGTTAGAACAAGAATCCCAACCTAAACCTTTCTGACTTTCAAAGACTGTGGTTTCCACTCAGCCAAAGACAGTGCTGTGAACAATGAGCAAAAGTGCTTTCAAATTAATATTTTTATATCCCAATGTCTTTTTTGTGGTTGTTCTGCCATTAACAAATTTACCTAGCTCTTTCTAATCCTGCCATCCCCATATTGTCTACAGAAATATCATACGTTGCCAAACAGTTTGGTGAACACTTCAGAGCATTGTATTTGCTTAGTAGTTCTCAAATTGTCTTCTCTACTTGACAAACATTGGTTTTGAGTATTGCATTAGAAATTCTTCTTGAAATTTGTAGTAATTATATGTAATGTGTTAATCTTGTCTGTAAATCTAACACCTTACAAAATATTTAACTTTGTACCCTTTCCAAGGAAAAGACACCTTTTTTAATTTTATCTCTTGAATCTATTTAATTTTTTGTTTCTGATATGCATATTGTATGCAAAGCACATTGTACACATTTCTCATTTACTTGTCATAGCAAATTTCTTAAGCCTTCTTAGGTCTAAACTTTACTTATCCCCAAATTAAGATGAGAACTAAAGAAGCCAAATATTGTTTACAGTCACACAAGTAGTACAAATATCAGAATTTGAATCCATGTGAACTCTAGAAATATACATCAACAGTATGGATCTCACTTTGAGTTTAGAGAGTCAGACCCACCTAACTAGATGCAAAGGTATCAGACTTCCACTGTCTTACTAGTTTCTCCCTCACCTTCTACAATTGCGAACTTTTTGAAAGGAGTGCCTATATCTTCTTATGCATCTGTGTTTTTCCCAAAATGTCTAAAAGAGTCCATTGATGATATGAATACATAATCAGTGGTTTATTGAAACATTGTGGTATATTTAAAATAGTGATAATACTAAACACAGTATTCTGAAGTTAAGGGTTCTCAATATTTGGCCTTACGGCTATTGGCCAAGTTTAGACAATTTGGTTATATGAGCATTCTACATGTAATTGTCAGTGTCACATTTTGTAACTGGAACATGCTAATGCTAGCCAGAAATGAGTAAAATATCCGAATTTGGAAATATGCAAAAATGTTGAGTGAATATAGTAATATTGTGGGTTCTATAGCCAAGTGCGTTGCTTATTTTGGCAAGTGCAATTTAATTTGTTTTAAATGATAGCATTTGATTATATGCTATGCAATAGCATGCTTAATGTAAGGACTAATGCCAATTCCTATAAATGTTTCTATGTAACTTGGAGTAACCTTCTGGAATTTATCAATTCTTAGAATTTCATCAATTAAGAGAGTCAGAAATACTAAGGTTTCTTTAGGTAATTTTAAGAACTGTTTATAAAGTTCTGATTAAAGCTATTTTGAAGACATAAACCAGATCTTAACTAAGTCATCCCATTAAGTGAGCCTGATTTCAGTTATTTTTAATATAGTAATTAACACTACACGTAGCAGGGACATATTCAGGTCTCTAATAGAGATCTTTGATTACAGTATTAATGTGACAATTTCAGGTAAAGGACAAGTTAATCTAATTAAGTGAAGGTTAATTGTATATGCAGACAGTGTGACTAGAAGAAAAAAAGCTCAGCAGGATGTTCTCTGAGCACTTCTGCTTGAGAGAGTTACATTTGTTCATTCAAGAGTAGAAACAAAAAGTTCCACACTATAATCATAGCATTTTAAAAGAAAGCCTTATTAAAATGACTTACTAGCATTTGATGTAGAACCAGTAATATATATAATCTAATGGCTTGTCTGGAGGTTGAATAAATGTTTTCTAGTTCTAAAAATCTATAATTAACTAGTTCTTCACCATGAATAGACTTAGAGTTTGAGTCAATATGTTATATGGTTAGAGAATTTAGAAATTAAATTAGAGCATGTAGACCATGATTTCTACATAACAAATTTAGACCTCAAGAAAGTAAATAATCTGCCCATGATCAAAAGGTATTTGGTACTATATCTTATTTAAAATGCTTTTTAATCTACATTTACAACTATATTGTTTCTTCATTAAAAGAGGAAAGGAAGAGAGGAGAAGAGACATAGGGAGAAGAGAGGAAAAGAGAGAGAGGGTGAAAGAAATAGGAAAGGAAAAGGAATAAAGGGAAAAACTGTGTCCCCCCGACACACAATTAGCCACTGTCTGATTAAAACTATACATGAACATCGTTTTATTATTGTCCCTAACTCTAAGGAAAGACTTCACTATATGGACACACAACTTCCCTGCCTTTATTTCTTCCCTTAGCCTTCTATTTTCTATGCAAAATACCCACAGCTCCTTCCATCATTCATCTCATGGCATGGGTTTCAGATGCTTCATCACCTGAGGCCTCTTCCCTAGCACATCAATAAACTGTTTCATGTTTCAGGTAGATGCCTGGGATTAAACAGCATGTGCCAAATGGTACCTGTATACCACTGTCAGTATTTAGAAAGGCTATTTTTTCTTGATTACGACACTGGATTTTTAGCTTTTAAAAATTTCTATTTTGTGTGGCTTAAGTTGTTTTCATAAAATAACCAAAGTACAAAGTTATTTTCATACAGACAACAATAAATAGGGAAGAAGTCATGCTGATTTTTAATTTGTTTTTTAAAATATTTTTCATTTTAAGGTCAGGATTGACATTAATAAGCGTTAATTATTTACTCTCAATACCATAATTATCAAAAATAAATTTTAATATTTCAATTGATCAAGAAAAGAATAATGAATTTTTAAAAAGAATTTAAGTGTAGT